TTTTAGTTTTACTTTGGTATGTTTCTCTTCTGTCCTGATTTTTTTGCCCCTAATAAACAGGAACTTGTACCTATTTGCTCTCGAGATCGATAGAGTCTTGACTAAATCTACTCCGTGCACAAGGTTGTTGCTTTCCTTAATTTTTTAGTTTTACTTTGGTATGTTTCTCTTCTGTCCTGATTTTTTTGCCCCTAATAAACAGGAACTTGTACCTATTTGCTCTCGAGATCGATAGAGTCTTGACAAATTCCTCCGTGCACAATTTGTTGTTCCTTAATTTGTTAGTTTACGTGGTATGTTTCTCTCGTCCGGATTTTTTTGCCCTAATAACAGGAACGTACTATTGCTCTCGAGATGATGAGTCTTGACTAAATCTACTCGTCACAAGGTTGTGCTTTCCTTAATTTTTAGTTTTACTTTGTAGTTCTCTTCGGTCCTGATTTTTGCCCCTAATAAACGAATTGTACGATTTGCTATCGAGATCGATAAGTCTTGACTAAATTACTACGTGCACAGGTTGTGATTTCCTTAATTTTAGTTTACTTTGGTAGTTTCTCTTCGTCTGATTTTTTGCCCTAATAAACAGGAACTTGTACTATTTGCTCTCGAGATCGATAGAGTCTTGACTAAAATTACTCCTGCACAAGTTGTTGCTTTCCTTAATTTTTTAGTTTACTTTGGTAGTTCTCTTCTGTCCGGATTTTGCCCTAATAACAGAACTTGACCTATTGCTCTCGATCGATAGAGTCTTGACTAAAATCTATCCGTGCACAAGGTTGGCTTCCTATTTTTTAGTGTTACTTGGTATTTCTCTTCTGTCCTGATTTGGCCCTAATAAACAGAACTGTACCTAGTTGCTCCGAGATCGAGATCTACAAAATTACTCCGTCCAAGGTGTTGCTTTCCTTAATTTTTAGTTTTACTTTGGTATGTTTCCTTCGTCCTGATTTTTGCCCCAATAACAGAATTGTACCTATTGCTCTCGAGACGATAGAGTCTGACATAAAACTACTCGTGCACAAGGTGTTGCTTTCCTAAGTTTTTTTTACTTGGTATGTTTTCTCGTCCTGATTTTTTTGCCCAATAACAGGAACTTTACTATTTGCTCTCGAGATCGAGAGTCTGACTAAAATCTACTCCGTGCACAAGGTTGTTGCATTTTAATTTTTTAGTTGTAATTGGTATGTTTATTTATGTCCTGATTTTTTTGCCCTAATAAACAGGAACTGTACCTAGTCTTCGAGACGATAGAGTCTTGACTAAAACTACTCCGGCACAAGGTTGTGCTTTCCTTAATTTTTTAGTTTACTTTGGTATGTTTTCTTCGTCCTGATTTTTGCCCTAAATAAACAGGAACTTTACCTATTGCTCTCGAGAATCGATAGAGTCTTGACTAAAAATCTATCGTGCACAAGGTTTTGTTTCCTTAATTTTAGTTTTTACTTGGTAGTTTTATTCGTCTGATTTTTTTGCCCCTAATAAACAGGACTGTACTATTGCTCTGAGATCGATAGAGTCTGACTAAATCTACTCCGTGCACAAGGTGTGTTTCCTAATTTTTAGTTTTACTTTGTAGTTTCTCTTTGTCTGATTTTTTTTGCCCTAATAACAGGAACTTGTACCTATTGTCCGAGATCGTAGAGTCTGACTAAATCTACTCCGTGCACAAGGGTGCTTTCCTTAATTTTTAGTTTACTTGGTTGTTTCTCTTCGTCATGATTTTTTTGCCCCTAATACGGAACTTGTACCTATTTGCTCAGATCGATAAGTCTTGACTAAAATCTACACCGGCACAAGGTGTTGCTTCATATTTTTAGTTTTCTTTGGTATGTTCTTTCGTCTGATTGTTTGCCCCTATAAACAGGAACTTGACCTATTTGCTCTGAGATCGATAGAGTCTTGACCAAATCACTCGTGCACAAGGTGTGCTTCTTAATTTTTTAGTTTTACTTTGGTATTTTCTCTTCTGTTGAGTTGAACCTAATCATATTATATTTTGTACATTTGCTATTGAATACTAATAAACAGGATACCATTTGCTCTCGAGATCGTAGAGTCTTGCACCTTTAAATTTTACATAACTTTCATATTATTTTGTAATTTGCTATTGAATAAATTATCTAGTTGCACTTAAATATACACATGAAGCGGGAACTGAAATTTTGAAGTATAACCGCCATTTTTTTTATTACGGAGGTTGTTCACACATTTTTTAGACAATTTTGTTTTGTTATTAAAAAAATTTGATGTGTACACCACATGACTTCCTTGTGCGGAATATTAAATTATACGCATTCTTTGTTGCATTTCATTTAAACGTATTTCATTGAATTTCATCAGAGATAGATTTCTCATTCAATTAATTCAGTTCTAACTTCGCGCCACGGCAAAAATACATAAAAACCTCAAAATATCTTCGTTAAAAATTGAAAGATATAGAAAAACATAAAACACCAAACGAAGTTAAAACAATAAAAAATAATTTTTACTATTAAAAATAGAGTTTCTACGCAAAAAGAAGCAATTCGGCTAGCAGGCAAGTAAGCAGATTTTCCGGGCACAAAACTAAAAGTTTCCTTTTGGTCCCACTCGACAAAAAGACACTGAAGGTGCAGAAACACTTACTTCACTACTCTGCTAAGTTTCAAATCCAAACTAATATGGCTGCTATGGTAAAAAAAACTACGCTTAGCCGAACTTAAACAACTTTACAATTGATGATAATTCTACAACTATTGCATGCAAATTAACTAAAGGCGTAAAGACCTTAACAGGAAGATAAGAACAACATAATTCAATCATTTTTAAAGCAAAAATTGCACAATTTACCAACATTGAAGAATAAAAATTAAAAAAAAATAAAAAACTGAGCTCACTGAGCCGTTTGCGGCCGATTGCAACCAAAAATGAGGTGCACAGCTACATGTTACTGCAATCCTATAGACAAAAATTCAACGTTCTGAGGCTACTCGTTTTTGAGTTACGCAGATATATACATACGTACGAACATACTCCACGAAAAAAAATCTCTTCTGAATCCATTTTAAATCAGTTTTATAATTCGTTTTGGGAAAAATAGTCTTTTATTCTGTCCTTTCGTGGAGATGTCACAAAAAAAACATCGTTAAATTGCATTCAGTAGCGATCAAAATGGATACTTTCGTTGAAATATGATACCCGGAATTTTTCGTTATTACAGTCCTTTACTTCGTACAAGAAAGTAAGGGAAAAAAAAAAAAAAAAAGCGTGTGCTTGGTAACTGCACTTACATTTTTAAAAACATAAATTATCTTCCGCTGCTTCACAGTTTTGTTTTCACACAAAATGGCGCTTTAGAGACAAAGGATGAAAGGCTATGTTTCTGCTCTTTTCGAAGAAAATTATTCATACGTATTAAAAAACTTTGTGATAAGTCATGGTTTTTCATTACCTAAAGCTACAATAGATAATATTGTCAATAAGAAAGGGAAAAAAAATGTCAAAATTTGGTTTCAAGTAGAAAAATTGTTCCAAATACATAGTCAAGGAAAACACGGAATGTTTCGGATGTAGCAAAGGTAATATCTTTAATGTTAAAATAAAAGCCGCCAAGTCAGAGGAACAGTGGCAAGCTAATTAAAAAATGCTCAGTGTCAACTGTAACAAAGTGGTTAATGCTGATTTAAATCTTAAAAAGGTGAAAAAACATAATGTGCATCAGCTTTCTCCAAGACATATCGCCGAACGCAGAACGTGCTGCAGATTTCTTTATGAGAATCATTTATCCGGAATAAGAAAAATATTGTCACCATTCATGATCTTGGGCTTATTTAAATTGCTGCTAATACAAAGAGATTCATTTATTATCACCAAAGAAGAGAAAGAAATCTTAACACATAGTTCAATGAATCTAAAGAAAGATTTTCATACCAATTTATGATGCACATTAAAAATAAAGAGATTGGTGAAAAATGTTAATATCAACTGCATATATTATTAACCTTTTAACTGTCATGCCCGAGATAATCTCGGGCACAGCATTAGTGTTCGAAAATGTCACGCTCCAGTATTACTCGGGGTAAATTTTTTTTTTTTTTTTTTTTTTTTGAGTGCATCGTATTGTTATACCCGAATATATATCGGGAGACGTTTATTTCGGCTTCCTCTCTTTGTCAAACCCGACTGTATCTCGGGAAAAGTTAATGTGCGCTCAGTTCAATAGATGACAGCACTTTACTGAAGATTTCAAAGGTTAGAGGTTATTTGGTTCAAGGTGCATGGGATCTTTTTGTTGTAAAATAGCGTCCAGTTCTTTGAAACGTTATATTTTAACGATTTAGATTCTTCAACCGAAGATGAAGGATGTGTGTTTGATGAGCAGTATTCATGATACTTCCATGGTCAGCCTCAAAAATAAAAAAATGGAGATATACTCAAGCCGAAGATTGTTTCTAATTACGGTCTAACTATGGTGGTGTAGATCGCTGTGATCAGGAAATATACTTTCATCCAACAATCCGAAAACGTCAGATAAAATATTATAAAAAGATATTTTTACATTTACTAGACAAGGTACTCTGGAACTCATATTTGCTCTATAAAAATGTAGTTGGGAAACGTATTACATTTTTAGAATTTCGAATCCAAGTTGTAGAAGAGCTTTTACATAAATATGATGATGCAGCTTCTGGACAAAAGAATGTTGGCAGACCACCTACAATAGATAACCTCTGCCTCGTCTTACTGAACGACATTTTATATCCCATTTTCCTCCTATTCCTGCCAAACGTGAGCCTACAAGACAGTGCAAAGTGTGGTTGTTCGAAAAAGGATTAAAATGGGGAAAAGATAAGGAAGGAATCACGATTCTGGTGTAGTGATTGTGGAGTTGGTTTGTGCTTGGAAAGTTTCCAGTTGTACCACATAAGACTGAATTACTGAACTACTAATAGGTATTCACTTTATATTTGTTATTTTATATTTAGAAAATAGTTAATTATCCCCCCTTTTTTTATTTTTAGAAAATAATGCTCCACTAGAAGCGAACTTTGCAACTGCCATGTTGAGTGACAGCTGCCTCAAAGAAAATATGCAGTGGCTACAAAACTTGAATTTTACCCATGTACCATGTAATTTTACCCATGTAAAATAATTGAAAATTTTATCCATGTAAGTCAAAATATCAATTTTTAACTACTTAAGTATATTTTATTTTGTACTAAACATTTGGTTTTTGCAATAAAAAAATTTGACATTTTGTGTACCCAAATCATCAAAATAACTTGACAGTTAAAGGGTTAATATTATCACAAGCATATTTTATACCCAATTTTCAAATATGAAGATACCGTTTCTTAACTCAAAATCCACTGTCAATTTCCTAGAAAAAAGGGAAAAAGAAAGGGGTATCAAGGCCATACTCTTCACTGTTATCCCCGCTAAATATGATGTACCACCCATGGATTTTTGCGCGTTTGAGCTTTTGAAAAACAGATAGTCCATTCCTCGACCTCCTTAGACTTTGGAAAGCTCTGTTCAAGAGGAATGCGATAAAATACCTCCTAGGCAAAGAATATGTACTACATAGACGTTCTTTGTCTTAGGAGACTACAAAAGGCTTTATTTTATCGTCTTGGAAATAACGGTGTAGAAAGATAGTAGAAATAATAAAGGTTATCAAATAGAGCATTTAAAACAGAAAAATTTCAGGTAAAATATTTTTATAAATATATTGAAAATCGTCTAAAAAATGTGCGAACATCCTACGTATTTTTTAAATCTGAGCAATTTTGCTCGGGATAATATTTCTTATTGCCGACATTTTTTTAGACAAAATTGCTAATTAACTGCTTTGAGAAAAGCATTCATCTGTACACTTTCCTTTCCTTGTAAAATTCTTCAGGAGAATATCACACAGTTTTCGCGCGCTTAATTCAGTACTCAGGCCAGTCAGTACACGTTTCAATAGGACATGTATTCTATTCTCTTTTCAGTAAAAATTAAACTTCAGACTGACGTTTATACTTGATATATCTATGCATTTCGAGAAAATCTGACGTTCATCTCTCTTCTTAAAAGAGTAAAACTTTCTCAGCCATTTCTCTGCTGTTTTTACAGTGCTGATTATCTATTGAGGCAGAGAATAAATATTTCAAATTCTAAAAAGGATTTATGTGCAACTGTTAAACGGGTCTCATTTTCTCAAGCTCATTTAAGGCAGTATTTCGCAAACTTTTCTCATTTTAAATTCTGAAATGTTTAAGGTACACTATGGTAAATTTGAGTTTTTAGCAACAATAAATAATAATGCTGTTATATTAAATAAACAAGCATTTATTCTAATTTTTATATCTTACCTATAAAAGAAACTTTTTTTTTTCATATTTTAATTTTACAAAAAATGGCACATAAATGAAACAATATTGAAAAGATAAAACATACTTAGTTTTCTATGATTTTGATATATTTAAATTTTCGAACTACAAAGTGTTTATTCTAATTACATTAATTTTAAGTCATTCGAATTGCAAAGTGTTCATACAAAGTATTTTGATATGAGGCACAGTGTTAGAAACCTAAATTCTTATAACAGGTGCGTCGATTTCTATCCATGGATATGTTTACAGCGAAATATTAAAAATCTGCCTCGCACAAATACGTTGTCAGGAAAGGAAGTAAAATATGAACAGCTCGTCAGCGCATTTTGATAACTTCGATTTTTTTTCCCCCTGACAACTTATCAAAAATTCTTTCGATGTTAATTTTTTAAATTTTTCAGGTATTTAAGTATTATTGTAATCGCCTTCGTAAAAGTAGCCAAATTTAAAAGAAAACAGATCGCTGTGTACTTGGAAAGAACAGCGGGGGGGGGCACTGCAGAAAGATTTCGCAAAAAAATGTGTTTTTTTTTTTTTTTTTTTTTTTAAATTTTCTAATGTATCAATTAATCCTTATTTAATAATTAAAAATTTTATTTTAAATTGATAAAGTGTATTTTCTTTTGATATATTGATACATGTTTGCCGACTTACAATAAATATTGATAGTTTTCTTCTGTAAAGAATCGCCAAATTGTGCCAAAGTGATCGCGTTAATATAAGTGGCCTTTTTTCAATGCCACAGTCAGTTGTCAAATCAATTAATTTTTCAAAATCAGATGTGCTTTTTTCTGTCAGCTGAGGAGATTCTTTGGCTGAGCTATTATCGTGAAATGGTTTCGAATCCAGTAGGAGATATTGACTAAAGTTTAACTTTAAGTCATGACACTGCTGCGTTTGTAAACTTAAACTTTTGTAAAACTGTTGCATTTGTCTATTTTCCAACTTTTTTCATTTAAACAGTCATTTAAGGTAAAAAAAGCAGTCAAATTTATTCTCCTCTAGTGAAGAAATCAAGAATATCAACTTTCGTTTGAAAGGCACAGTTTTATCTTTTATGTGTCAAACGGAAAAGTTTCTTCCTTATAATGGTAATTTTTCGCGGAACACTGAGTGAATTGTATAACGTTAAAACGTTAGCTGGTTTAAGGGAAAAAACGTTATGGTTTTCACCTAAGGGAAAAGACGCATTCGTGCAAAACTTTTTAAAGGAAAATGCTCGTATTCATGTTACGGACTGAAAAACCATATCCATGGCGAGATTGAAAGCTGGGTCGAACTATCAGTCATCAGCTGCGGTCGCCTAAGGGCGGAGGGATTAAATCTCTGGAAATACTATTAGTTAACTTAACTAAATGATATCGTTCGATCCATTTCATTTATAATTTAAAGTTCAGTATTAAGTTTTCGAATAAGAATTATATGTAATGAAATGCTACAATCACTCTTCTTTCTAGCTAATTTTTCAGGTAGTTATTATTTGAAAAAATTATTATTCAAATACCATTCACGTTTAAATTAAGCAGATAGATAACATTCTTGGCTTAGATTTTGAATAAAAACTGTATGGATTTCGAAGACCATCAGATACGGGTTCTTCTTTTTAAGGAGGGAAACAAATGCCTCTGAAGATGATTTTAAATTATTAGAGGTTTATTCAAAATCTACGCTAAATTAAGGCTGCGTTATTGCTTAATTTTAAATTTTACATTATTGTGTTTCTCTTCCAATTCGATCACTTACATATTTCCTGTTATCGTCTGCACTGACTACATATATTAGACAGCTGTTTGAAGATGTAGTGCGAATGTATAACAGATTTCGGAAAAACACACAGCAAAGTATATGATGCAAACAGAATGGCTTTCGAAAGTAGAAAAAAAAAAGCATTTTGTGAATTGCTGTCTTTATTAATAGAAGCTGAGCAATCTTGAGCCTTAACAGATAGGAAAGAATGTGAATACAGTAATGAATAATAAGATTTTTCTCGAACGTAGGCCAGAGTCAACTGTAGTTATTATCAATTTGCTGGCACTCGGTCGATGCGATAGCTCAAAAATCGATTTCGATGCTATCCGGGTATCGATTTTATGCCTGTGTCGATCATATGTATATAATCTTAAAAATAATAATCTAATCAATTTCACCTGGATTTTTTTTTTGGGGGGGGGCTTACGTATTATCCCATCGACTGTGAAAGTTGCCTACCATAGAATCATGAAATTTAGCAGAGGTGGCGCCAAAGTGTCGCCAGTTGTCCCTACAGAGTTCTGAAGGCAGTGACGTCCATTAATGTGGTAAGCAATCAGTATTCGACCCGCTCCGTTTTTGTGCTTCGTAAAAGGCTTTCTTCGATTTATACTATTTTGTTAGGTTTTCCTGTTTTACAGAAATGAACTATTTAGAACGAAATGAGTACAAATTCTCGCAAGTAATTGCTTCCACCTATTTCTCTTTTGTACATCATGATCCGTCGACCCTATCATGTCATTGATGCACACTTTTTTTTTTGGGTGGGGGTAGTAAGATCTCATAACATTGCAAATAAATTCACTGCTTGCTGTACTGTTGAATGCAGGTACCAAATTTTAATAATTGTTTTTCAAAATGCAAGGGGAAAAAGTGCATTATCTGTATTTATAAATACAGAAAGTGGCTAATATTAACTCAATAGGGGTTATAACAGACAATAAGTACAAAATGTAACCTTTTTCAGCTTGGCTTTCGCCGATCATTGAAATTATTTTGTCGCGTGATGCAGACAGCACACAACGGTACCTGACGGTTGCTACTGAACAACCGGAACTTAGCCTTTCAGCTTGTAATCTTATCTTATTAGCAGATGTTTAAGTGTTGTGTTATATCACGCGTTTCCATATTTGGCGCAAAATCGTGCTACTTGGTGTCAGTTTCACGGTCGACGGGATAATAGGCAAGTAACCTTTTTGTCATCCAATTCATCCGATAGTTATAACTCTTAATTTTTTTTCTACGCCATACCAATACTTATTGTATGCCATTCTCAATCTTATGCCTATTATGAGTCTGAGCAAGTGACTAACGTACGTTAATTCTCTTACATAAAAGAGCATCATTATCAAAATTTCGTTTTTAAAGTTTCGATAGTAACTGATTTTATGCGGTGTCGATGTTAGGAACAATGCCAAGTCATAAATCTGTAGGTATGGCTTACTGATGCCCAGTTTGCGCAAAAGGTATTCACAAGTGCAATCTGCAGCCTTTTAACTTATAACAGCTAATCCAGCTAGATAAACAATGACTTCCACCACTTTTCGAAAATTAGTGTCACTTCAATAAAGCATTTCAAGGTTGACCTTTTTCAGAAGAAAATCTTCCTTTTTATCTAAATTGAGCACTAATACTCATGCTCACACAGCTTTCAAATTCTTATTACGTATACTAAAAACGACTCATCATCTTTAATGATAACTAAATCTAGATTTATAGCTTTTTCACTCGCCTCTCTTGGGGGTTGTCTAAAGAATTTCTGAAATTAAGATCTCTATTCTTCGTAGTAATGTAGCTTTCTGACATCTTGCCTTGAAATCTGTCCCACAAAACCAGTAACATTCTTCTGTTATCAATATCGCGTATAATTTATTTTCCAAAGGGAGCAATGCTGGGGGGCTGCGACGTCTGCAGCATTCCCTAGACAGCTCCGTGACAGCACCTTTGTATTTGCTAATCGTGCCGGTATGTAGCCTTGAGCTTGTTGAAAGTGTCAACAGGTGTTGTCCTCATTTGCGTATCGCGAGGTTCAGTTCGCTCTCC